AAACTATTGAACAAACCGGAATTGATTTTCTAATTAAATGCAGCTTTGAATTTTCTAGTTCGTATTGTATACCGCTAAAGCAAAATTTAATCTACGTGTGATGAAGCCTAGATGATTACAACCTACCAACTTGAATTACTCCTTGTACCTTTCTCATTTGGGCTTTTATTGATAAAGCAAAGAATTGTTGAATTTGCCCTAGAAATGTTATAATTGTAGTTCAACAAGTCCTTGGCTATGTGTTGATTAGGATAATACGTCCCTTTGAAATAGCAACCCCAATGCGATGATGATAATCAACGTCACGTGAGATCAATGATCTACTTTTTTAAACGCCTGTTGAAATTTAATGTCACCATATTTAACGATGGTTAACGTTGGTATTATCGGTGTAGGATTAGTTGGTTCCGAACTAATCAATCAACTGACCGCTCAAATCTCTCGCCGCAGTCTCCCGCTTCCGTTAAAAATAGTTGCTTTGGCCAATTCCAAAGTACAACTACTAAGCAACACGAATTACGATGCAATCGATCTCGATGGATGGAAGAAACGTCTAATATCACATGGGGTATCGACTGATTTAAGCGCCTTCACTACGTACTTGGCAAAAAGTCCTGATGTAGCCGTAGTAGTCGATAATACATCGAATCAAGATGTGGTAGATTTTTATCCAGAGTTTATTAAAGCTGGCCTACATATTGTCACCCCGAATAAAAAGGCGTTCTCGGGAGACTTGGGGTTTTATAAAAAGATCGTGGATTTAGCAAGAGAGAAGAAAGTATTGATTTATCATGAGTCAACTGTGGGTGCTGGATTGCCTGTAATCAATACATTGAAAGACTTAGTGGGTACTGGAGACGAAATTGTAAAAATTGAGGGGATATTTTCGGGGACTTTGAGCTATTTGTTTAATAGCTTCTCGCCAACCGAAGAGACCGCTGGAGATACCAAGACTTTTTCTGACATTGTTAGAATTGCCAAGGAGAACGGATATACTGTAAATATATAATTGACTGAATCACGTCTACATGATCTGCTTTTTTTACGTGAGTATTTTATTCAATAGACGACTGATAAATATCGATTATTCAATATGCACAGGAACCAGATCCAAGAGATGATCTAAACGGTGTAGATGTTGCCCGGAAGGTACTTTTTCTTTTTTTTTTTGAACTTTACATGCTTGCTCATCTTTCCTTCATTACCACATTGCACTTTTGTCAATAGGTGGTAATTCTTGGTCGGCTGGCGGGAATTGATTTATCCCTGGACACACTTCCGGTTGAGAACATGGTCCCAGAGCCGCTCAGGGCGGTTGCATCTGCAGATGAATTTTTGACAAAATTGCCGGATTGTGATGACCATTTTGATCAATTAAAAAAGGCGGCACAAAATAACAATAAGGTACTGAGATATGTCGGTGCCGTTGATCCTGTTAATGGAAAAAGTTCTGTCAGTTTGCTAAGGTGAGAAGAGAAGGATGATTATTGTGAACACGATCTGGTTTTATCGATCGATAGACTCATTGTTGACGATGATAATAAGTCGATTCAATAACTGAATGGCTTGCGATTACTAACAAATCGTTTTCGGTTATATCTTCTTTGTTAGCCTTTCTACTAGTCATCCATTCGCTTCACTAAAAGGCAGCGACAACATTATTGCATTTACAACGAAGAGATTCCCCAATCCTCTTATAATTCAGGGTGCTGGTGCTGGTGCTGCTGTTACAGCATTTGGCATATTCTCAGATTTGATAAAAATTGCAGAGCGCACATCGTCGTAACTCGATAAACAATCGCGTGGCGTATGTTGAGTATAAAAAGGGATTCTGCATGTCGAATTGTATAGAAGACTTTTTGACAAATGGTTGCTTACACGCACAAAATGACTTCCTAGTAGAAACACTTGTTACGCACGCGTGGATATTAACTCGATTGTAATTTCTCTTTCAATCATAATAAGTTAGAATTAGGAATATGTAATAAAGGTGACTGTGTTGACATTATCAAGTATATCCTCAACGAATTAAATGAAACGTTAAAAACGCGACATTTATTCGAACACTCGAGACAATTATAATAAAATATATGAGTCTCTTGAACCTCCTCTTGGCTACTTGATTAGACGCCCAAACATGCGTTAGTTAATATTTCAGCGCAAATCAATCGAACCTCAATTGAGGTCATGTAGTTATATTGGGCGTCAGTACTGGTTGTAGGTTAGAAAGCGCGCTTAAGAGATTTTAATTAAAAAAAAAAGAGGGTATTCATTTGAGTATTTGGACAGTATTTTCGAATGTCCGAGGGTAATGCAGTCTGGTTACTTCACTGTTAGTATGATCGCTGCGAAGGATTTACATAGTTCAAAGGCTCATTTTATCTGAAAAGAATACACTGGATGAATATGATATCCCGGTATATCGTAAAAATTGGATTTAATACTTCCGTTCTATCAATCTCCTTATATTCGATCGATAACGTATTCCCTTTACCG